TGGGTCAATCATTTGCTTCATTAGTTCCAACAGTGGCAGCTGCGGAATCTGCTATTGGATTAGCCATTTTCGTTATTACTTTTCGAGTCCGAGGGACTATTGCTGTCGAATTTATAAATTGCATTCAAGGTTAAACATAACTACAGGAGAGTTACCAAATACAAAGTTCTGTTCTCCTTTCGTTCTCTTCTTTCTTTTCTTTTTATTTTATCAATATTTGATAACTCTTTCTCACCATAACTGTACTCCTGTTGTTTTGTTTCATTAAGGCGGGGGCGTATGTGTCTTTCCTCTGCCTGATCTGCACCTTCTTCGCGATCCTTCTCTTACCTCTACCGGAAGGTGGCTGGAAGAAGCCGTGGGTGGAGTTGGCCCATGCCCATCTTGCCTCCCTTCATCATCCTCTGGTAAGTGAGGAGATGGGATCTCTTGGATGGGCGAGAGGGTGTTCCAGTCGTCGTCGTCCATATGGACGCTGGTCTCTTCCTCCTGAAGACAGAGTTTCGGGTGAGCTAGCAAAGAAAGCAGCAGTGCCACCTAATACTCGTAGACTAAAGTACTTCTTTTTATATCTAGGAACAAGCGTCGGAGTCAATATCAAAGTAGCAGCGGAAGCTGTCCAGCCGAAAGACAGATCTGACAAAGCCGGTGAGGGGGGCAAGTGTTCTTCGGACTCATTCCAATTGAGTGCCAAGATGCGCCTGGAGCATAGCGCTGGGGTGCGAGAACGAGTAGGAAGTTCTGGTCCCACCCAGAAGAGTGCACTGATAGCCTATCTATCAATCTTCTCCAGCCAATGACATAAGATAGGGAATCTTTCTGATTGGTCTAATTGAGAGGAAAGATAGGATGATATTAGTTGCAATCGGAGAGAGAGGAAAGTCTCTCGATGTCCCACAAGAAGAAATGGACTTACTTATAGACAAGTCTCCGAAAGTCACTGTCAAGGGAGGATGCTGAAAGCTACTCCTTTCGCAGGGCTCTCTCTCTCTATCAATTCCTTGCTGATTGATTAGAAAAGATATCTGGCAGTGAACTATTGTTCGGCAAACTCCTCTTTTTTGGTCCAGAGGATGGATGCGTCAACTTGATGTCACATATGCCGTCCCAGGGCTTTCCGGCTGGGAAAATGGAAAGAACTATTTGATTTCGTTTCAGATCAGCTAGCGCTTACGCCTTTCTTGGTTGAATGGATTCTGGCGCAATGCTGATTCGGATAATGCTGGAACTGCTACTCGGTAGACTATGAAACAGAAGCTTTGAAAGGGTAGTGTTCCCTATTCAAAGTACAGTGCCTTTGGTACATTGGTGCATTGGGGATTTCCAGGTAGCAGGTCGGTTGAGTGAGGGCTCCATCCATAACTGATATAGCTAGCGCACAGGATCTCCCTTCTGCGAACAAAAGGACAAAAGAGCCGGGTCGGGCGTTGATTCGCCGTTGCTATCAGTCGGTCTACTCGTGCCTGCTGCTTACTTTCTCGATCGATGGAATCGGTGATTCGAAAAACCTAACATCCGTAAGGAGTCTCAATCGTAGCTCACTCGTTGCCTTACTCTCCCACAAGATCACACTAAATACAATAGGTGCGTGATCTACTAGATTCTTATATAATCAATTTCTCACCTTAGTTGATAGACAGGAACCACCATCCCATAACAAAAAAGGGGGGCGAAGGTGATTTTTTACCAATGAAGACGGATTTCTCTCTCGAGCTGCTCAAAGATCTTTAAGTGGCTTACGAGGTAGACTTGATCATGATCCATATCCAACCTTCTCCCATCTGCTTCTGTCTCTAAAGATTAGAGTCATCGACGCGATTCAAGTCCAGTGCTGATAAAATCCTGCTGTCCAGTTCGGGAAAGCAAGTGATTGATTAGTTCCATTGGTCTATTGGCTTCAGCTTCCAGTCTACCTCATTTCTATCAAAATGATCTGGTGTCTTTAGCGCGTACTACCAGTTAAGGAGCCATATCCGAGGCTCTATCAGCTGTTATACCCTCCTGGACAAGCGTGTTATTGAGGGCTCTTTATCCCCTAAAATCGTTTTTACACTAAAGGGATAGGGTGAAGAGCGAGTGATCCCTCGATAGGGAGCACGAGCGATGCAAGCAACAGGAGGACAAGACAAGCCAATGGGATGAAGCCCTTATCAGGTCCATCTTTGATGAGAGGGCAGTAAAGAAAAGAGGTTCTTGGGCTGTCTCACATAGCCTAGCTTTTGGTCGGCTCTCTCGCTATATCCACCCGGATATCGCTTCGTTCACCTACTCTGAGCGGGGTATTTTCCAGTCAGGGATTTATCCCCATTCCGAGTAAGAGTAATTCACTCTCGTCTGTTTGCCAAAAATGCGGGGTCTAATTTGTTGATTCTCGGATACGAAGATATCAAATGGGATACATCAAACTGGCATGTCCAGTGACTCATGTGTGGTATTTGAAAGGTCTTCCTAGTTATATCGCGAATCTTTTAAATAAACCCCTTAAGAAATTGGAGGGCCTAGTATACGGCGATTTCTCTTTTGCTAGGCCCAGCGCTAAAAAACCTACTTTCTTACGATTACGGGGTTTATTCGAAGATGAAATTGCATCTTGTAACCACAGCATTTCTCCCTTTTTTTCTACCCCAGGCTTTGCAACCTTTCGAAATCGGGAAATTGCGACAGGAGCGGGTGCTATTAGAGAACAATTAGCGGATTTGGATTTGCGAATTATTATAGATAATTCCGTGGTGGAATGGAAGGAATTAGAAGACGAGGGGTATAGTGGAGATGAATGGGAAGGGATGGCAGGAACAAGGTAGGGCTTCGGCTCTTCTTTATCGGTAGTCTTTCTTGCTATAGGTAATGTCTTGACTTCGTTGATGGTTGCAGGAACTGCTTCAGTTTCACAGGCCCCTTTCAGAACGATATGTAGTAGCTCATCCTAATTGAAGTATTTCATTCTGGCGAGCGTTCCTTTCATTGGAAATCTTATGATTGAGTGAGTGTCTTTCCTGGTTTTTAAAGACGGGTTTTCATATGCCGTCTGCGCTTGGCTTCGGCTGTAGAAAGAAGTCCCTTTCTCTCAGGCAAGAGGAGCCTTATCCAGGATTCGCTCTAGCCGCTTGACTTATCTGCTTTTGGCTCTAAGGGTATCACTCTGTCTTTTTTCTATCTTTTCAAACTATTAAGATTCTGCTTTTCCAGAGGACTCTAACTACAAGGTATTGCTTCGAATGGCCCCGTATAAATAGATTTCAGAAGGAATTGACTGCCATTATTGTTTCCGTATCTGGCACTGCTCAATCCTCTATGGAAACAACGGTACTTCCGTTCCTTTCATATCCTGCCTTGCCAAAGAAAGCGCTATTGAATTCCAAACATGCGCTCGATGACTTGATCACGAACGATACAGCCCTTATCTTATCGATAGTTCAGCATTCAAGTTAAGCATGAAAGAGAACGGGGGTAGGTCAAGCTAAACCAGAACAATCCGCGCTAGTAGCTCAAAGCAAGAAAACGTATGCTAGTGACTAAGGCGCAATCCAACTGCTCTATAAAGGCTCTGCTTGTGCTATTGCCCCTTACGAAAGTCCAGGAAAGGATGGATAAGAGGATGAGTTAGGGAATCCTACGTAGGTACGAAATGAAATCCACTCCTAAACTTAGTTGTATTGGTATTGGCCTGCCACCTAGCTAGAATAGAAGGAAGAATCTCGTAAATCTAGACTATTCAAGTTGAAGCTGATTTAGAAGGATCAAGTAAGATGAAATTTCAATGACCCTGGCTAAAAGGAAGGTGTGTTTGCTTAAGGATGGGGAGCCGGCGAACTACGCAATCTCTACAGCATCGAGGCTGAAGACAGGTCTTTACGACGACTACCGCGGATAAACAGGTCTATCAAACCCAGAACCAGAGCAGGGAAGTTATAGATTTCTCCGTCCGTCCTCGACAGGAAGAATGTACAAGAATTCTGAACTAGCTAGGGTGAAACAAATACATTCCTAAGTAGGTGCGTGAAAGTAAGACAGGGAAGAGTCAAGGAATCCATCCTCGTAACCGCCTAGTCCGTAGAAGGAAGGCTTTCTTTGAGGAAGTAGTCGGGAATTAGTCGGATCTAAGCTAAGGAACTGAACTGCTATCCTCAGCATCTCTATCGCCACCACCGAACACTTCGGCACCGAAGCACCACGCGAAAGGACCGGGAGAGGCCAACAACCGGCGACCCCCCCGTCGACCAACTGCTCTTTCTTGCCAATCTACTTTAGATTTCTTAATACTTTCATTGCGGGACCTATCCCCGAACAACCATTGCTTTTCTTCCGCGGTTTCTTTAGTTTCTTCTTGATTTGATTGAAGTTTAGGGAATTGGATGGACTGGTGGCTTTGGATATTATCCGTCCTACTTATGATCTTCCAATTGAACACACTAGTATTTTATGGATTCTTTCCCCGGTAGTGTAGTCATCTCCAAAAGGGATGATACATATTTCTCTGTCCTAGGATGCGCCGTTCGTGATAAGCTTATCCGCTTCCTTTCGCCGGTAGTGTGAATCTTCTCGAAAGCGCACAGCATAGTCCAGTCAGTGTAGCCAGGGCATCACTCACTCCATCGCCATGAAGCACCCGTGTTGATTATCTGGGAAATGATTGAGTCGAGGCAAGAATAAGGGAAACTGTCATTGTTGAATCTGCATTCTTATCTCTCTTTCCAGCATTCTTAGCTAACTCGGCTTTTAGTCAAATCGCTAAGGGAAACTGTCATTGTTGAATCTGCATGGATTCACTCACATTTATAGAATAGAACAATTACGCAACAAAAGAGAAAAGAAGGTGAAAAGAGATGCAGAAGGAAGAGAAATCATTTCTATTAGTTATTAGTGTCATCGGAATCTCTGTCACTTCACTATCTTCCCTCTTCTAACTGGTATGTGTATTGGATCCGTGCTTCTGTTAGCACATACTTTTCCTTAGCTACCCATCCATACATTAACGTGCTTATCATTTTGAATCATCTTCCTCATATACCACTTTCATCATCATCGATATCATCATATAGTGAGTCTTTGCTATCAGATACTATTTCTATCTTAGAAGATACAGTCTCTATGCTATCAGATACAGTCTCTATGCTAGACTTGTAGGTCTCCTTCTCATCTGGTCGAATAAACGGCTTTGTTTCCTCATAAGCGATACCATTATCATCCAATATTTTCTTGAGATCATCATGCTTACTCAATAAATGGACCAATATTTTGACAGCCCTATGATCAAGACTTCTTAGATCATCAACATTTAAATGCCTAGGTTTAGTTCCAACAATTCTCTTTCCATCGTAAACCGGTTCTCTCTTTTTCTTCTCTTTTTCCTCTCCCATAGTAACTTTACTTTTACGATAACCTATTTCCAGATTTTTAAAATCCTTACAGAAATAGTTTCTGTAGATCACTGTCTGTTTATAACCTGGGTTCTCCGCCCGCTTCCTGAACCACTCGGGGTCAGCCGCGTCATGGCCAACCCCTTTGAATTTGATTACATTCTTCTTTTCATCAGTATCAGGTAAACCAATCACCAACATATATTCCTTGGGTGCGTCAAAGATAGCAGATTCAATATTATCGTATTCAATCTTGAACTTACCTATTTCGGTAGGTGAAATCATATCTTCTTTAAGTGAGCCTTTAATAACAATAGAGTCTGTGTCAGTGTAATAGCAATCTTCCCTTGAGATATGTGGATACATATATATCCTGGCGTAGGCTGTAATAGCTGCAGATATATGAACGGCACTATTTGAGAGGTCTTTTTTTATATCATCGAGAATATCTTCTGCTCTTCTGCTCTGTTTATACATCATTACATAAGTATCATTACCTAGGGGTCTAAAATCGTAATACCCTTCTTTCTCTATGCCTGCTTCAAATTCTTCTTTACTTACAGCTATTTCTGTCTTAGTGCTTTCAGGCGATATACCGAAACGGCCATAAAGACTGTTCATTGTTGTCTTCAATACAAATGACAACGCTTCATCACCATTTTTCTTAGCTTCAAGTCTTTGATTATACAAATCATTGATAAATTCTTTGAAAGGTGTTTTGATCATTTTATACTGTAATGCTTGTAATGGATACACCTTGTAACCCAGCTTTTCCGCATATTTCAACTCTTCTGACCAGTAAACACCTAAAAACAATCCTGTTGGGAATATGAGTTGTCCAGTATTCTCTTTATAAGGTAGAAAAGGCCTGTTCATATCCTTTGGACATACTACCATTGCTTTAACAAACCCAAACAAATTCTCTAATTTAGCATTTCGAAGATCAGATAACCATTCTCCTCTCCCACCAGGCATTAAACAATTCTGCATTATGTATGGATATAGAGAATTTACATCATACAATTTCAGATTTTCACCATATGGTATATATACATCTGTATGACCACCGTAGTATCCACCCCTAATAAAACGGTCTTGGTTATCGTCAGGGATATAGATCCGTGTCTCTTCCTTCGAATCATCATAATATTTGGTCCGAAATATTCTTAACGCCATTGATGATATAGTTATAACTGAAGTTATATCCACATTATATAATTGAAAATAGATTTCTTGCGCTTTTTGTAGAATAGCGGCTGTCAATAAAATATCCTTTTCGAGATACTGTAAATAATCTCTCTTTTTCATAGTTAGATTACTAATGTTCACTTTTAGGTAGTCCATTTCTCCCTTCCCGCCTAATTCAGGGGCAAAACTTTTCCCTAGCGATTCCAAATTACTAGGTAATAGCTTACATGAATCTAGGAACTTTACAATAGTCCGACCTTTTTTATTGAATCCACCTTTTGGAATGGTTTTTACATCGATTGAATAGAGAACACCGTTTCTAAACAGTGTTTGAAAGCTTATTTCATTATGCAAATTTCAGGCTAAATTCTTTAGTATAAGAATACCATCGAACCCTGCTAAATTGTGAAAGTAGGCCACAGTCACTCTTCTTTCTTTTTTCCCCGCTTTAATTATGGCATTAATAAAACTCTTTAGCATAACCGTACTCTTTTCCTCGAAATCATCAGGATTATCGACCAACAGATCATATTCATCTGTATAGAACAACTGTATATCAGACTTCTCTGGTTTTATACCAGGCCTAACCATCATAAACCCTGCAGCGTAAGCACGATGATTTGAATTCTCCAAGTCAAGAGTATCTATTGCATTTGAAAGTTCTTTTTCTTGTTCCGAAAGATTCATTTCTTTTTCTTCTTCCAATTTTAGCCTGCGGATATCTCTCAAGCTTGTTTTGGTATCCCTGAACTCCATCATTGAATTTCACTGGTAAATAGGGGGCTATGGCCTATGTATTTCTTATTAGAGTCATCTTCCATTCATTTCGATTTTGGTCTTTCTGCACCATATTTAGATCTTCCCTTTCTACGATCCGGAATTCCCAGCAAATCCTTGACTCCTCGAATACGATGGGATTTCACACCTGGCGAATCTTTCACTCTACCTCCTCTGACTAAGACTATAGAATGTTCCTGCGAATTATGACCTTCGCCTGGAATGTGAGCAAATATATCATGTCGATTGCTCAACCGTACTTTTGCTATCTTACGTAGAGCTGAATTAGGTTTTTTCGGTGTTCTCGTCGAAACACGCAGGCATACTCCTTGCTTCTGGGGACATTGATCCGAAGCTCGAGTACGGTCCGTGCGCCGTTTTTCTTCTCTACCATGACGAATCAATTGATTTTTTGTAGGCATCCCTCTTTCCTATGTCCTTCCCCCCTTAGCCCTTTCACTAGTAGTTACTCCCGATCCGAAGCACCCCTTTTCCATTCATAGAGAGATCCAATCGTCAAAATCAATAAAAAGGCCATCATGGACCAAGATCCAAACAGATCAATCTTGTTAGGAGGTACTGCCCAAGGAAAAGAAAAGGTGACTTCCGGATCAGGGATAATAAATAAAATAGGAACCGGATAAAATCGTATATCGAAACGACTTCTGGCATCACCGGAGGGATCGAAACCACATTCGTAGGCCGACAATTTTTCTGGATAGGTCGAACTATTGGAAGCAAATGGAAAAGGAACACCGAGTGGAATCAAAGAAACTAGCGGACTGATCACTAAATAGATACAAATAGGTGCAAATTCCGACATCACCAAAGCCCACTTCGTTCTCTCGCTCTCCTCGCGGCGCTCCTTGCTCGCGGAGCGGCATACCGAAAAAAAAAGACGCTCAGATGTGGATTCGAACCACTGAAGGATTTCAAGGGCAATGCCCCTTGCTCTTCCCACTGAAACAAGCAAAAAAGGATTTTCAGTCCTTTGCTCTAACCAGCTGAGCTACCAGAACCACTTGCCTAAAGTCTCTTTTCTTCATCTATGAGCATCCTACCCGCAGTGGAGGAGCTTGCTCAAGAACCGAGAGCCGGCCAGGGACTGGACGGCCCTCGTTCGGGAAGGTCTTCTTCGCTATAGACGCCACCAAGAACAAGAAAGGGGCGCTCCGCTCCTAGTCACTAAGTAGTGCTATTCTGTCCGACGGCGGACTCCATCAATCTGAGGTTCTTTCTCTCACGTAATTTCGCCCGCCCGTTCAACTTCCGTGCCGGAGGAAATGGGATTCGAACCCATGATACAATCTTCTTGTATGTCGATTTAGCAAACCAATGCCTTAAGCCACTCAGCCATACCTCCATCCAAGTTGTTGATCGGAATTGGATCAATTTGGTTGCCCGAAGATCCACTGCGTAAGCCGTAGCGCGCGTACTCTTCTTTACTGAGCGAGAAAGACTCTATCCAGATCTATGGATCTCCCCAGCGTCCAAGCGAGACGAGACCCCATCCAAACCAAATCCGCCACTCGTTGGGCGAGGCCTTGCTTTCTATGAACACCTCACCACTGAATGAGAAACTTAGCCTCCGACCCGACCAAGAGAGAAGACAGGGTCAAGCCGACGCCGCCCTTCCTCACCTGCCTGAATGGAATGAATATCTCCTTCGTCTAGTCGAGAAGGGAAAAAGCCCGGCGGGGAACTGGACCGTGACTCTTCTAAACCATTACATGACGGAGAAGTCCATTCTCGTCATGATCGATCCACGTCCTACCATAGTGCCCGGAGAACCAGGCTTGCTTAGCTTACCAAGCTAGCTTACTAAGCTAAGCGCGAAGGAATTTTTCTAAGATGGCAGAGCTAGCCAGAAGGTAGCCTAGCTTGCTTCTAGAAGATTCTATAGTGATCCACAGGAATCGGTCTCGGGTGACGCCTCCCTAGTCGTCGAAAGATTTCATCCCTCGGTCGTTAAGGAGCAAGAGGATGCGCGTTAGCGCAACGGCTTTCGCGCTAGTTGCTCAATCCGTTGCTTGTTTGGTTCGAGGTTGAGCTCACCCGCCGCCCTACGTCAGTAGTCTTCCTAACTTCTATTCCCTTTTTTTGCTCTAAGGTAAGGTCCTTCAAGAACAGCATTGCGGTCGCAACGGGGCTCTGGGTGAATATTGTCCGCCCGTATGAGCCGGGCTGTGAATATTTATAGGTCGGGGTCTTTACTGAAAAACCACAATACTACACTACAACAATTTTAAGAAATCCGCAAGTGACTATAATTTGAATTCACTAGTCGTGTTGAGTTGAGGCTTATTTCAATATAACAAATCTGCCAATCCCGATATTCCCACATTTCATTCTGGTCCAGTGTCCATTCCTGAATGAAAGAAATGAGCTTTTTTGCCCCTTCACTCACTTCTGAATGACTCCTTTAGCACTCCCTTTTTTATATAAAAAAATAGATACAGTTTACCTTTACCATACCTTCCAACCAAGCAAGAGTGTTTTTTGCAAGCTTTTTATAGCCGCTCTTCCTAGGGCAGGGCAGCAAGTCTCTTATCCATATTGAAAGCAGAAGTTTGAAAGTTTTGATAACAGGTTCTATGAAAAGCTAGCAATCCTGTGAGTTTTCCAAAAGTGAGGCTAACAATAGCTATTAAGTCTACTCTTATGGAGATGATTGAGTGGAAGTTGGATAAGGATTGGAGTCGGATAGGGTGGGAGTAGGTCCAGCCGAGAGGGCCATAGGAGTGGTCCGGACGAGCTTACTCTTAGCCATTGGAAGTAGTTGCTGATGGAAAAGTAAGAGTTGCTTAGGTTTAGTGTTAACTATTATGTTTTACTCTAAGTTGAAATTCAATCTTTAGAAATCACAACTAGAGGGTTAGTACTTGGATCGAACTCTCGGCTTTGGGGCATTTTTTCTACCTTGGGTGACCTAAGGAGAGAGAGGGATCATCAGTCTGAGCTATGGTTCCTGCATCGAAAGGATTCAAATAACGTACCAGAATATGTACAGAGGCATCTTCTTTATCTCTCTATATGGGAAGAATTACGGTCAAGGACTTACCTTTTCTTTCTGAACTCATTCTTTTCTTCCCCAGTACTGTGCATTGGATCAATTAGAACAACAAATGTGCTTCATCTTTTGTAGGTTCTGGGATTGCTATTCTATTTGAAAGAGGATGGAACGTTGGACATACGAGTGCCCTTCGAGCGATGGAGGAACCGCCTACACATCCCCACCTTAATAGCTCAATTGCAAAAGGAAGAAAAAGAAATCAATCTGACTAACCTCTCTCTCAGCAACATATCAGCTTTCTAGCATGCATATTTGAGAGTTACATTGCAGGAGAAAAGATCAGCTATACTTTTGTTGTTTGAATAAAAAACAATTAGCCACACTTGTTTGAATCCTTTTGTATCAACCCATAATTTAGCATCAGGATCCATGACAGGCGGGCCGTATCATGGTTGTTATTCTTTAAATATACCAATAGCAAAACAGAAACCTATCATGCATTCAATCTTTCATCTTTATATTCTATATCTGCTTGTTTCGAGTCCTTCTTTTACTTTATCCTTCCTTTCTTTTTAGTCAAGATGTGCTGTAAGGATCAAGAGTGTACCTTATGTGTTTTCAATTCTGCTTCGCTTTCATCAGCCTTATTATGGGTTTGCCTGGGCGCTTCCTTATATTAGATTCTCTATACTCCCCTCCCTTTCTGATTATTCTATTTAATGCAAGAGTAAGGATAGACGTCTTATTCTTCAGTGTTGAGATAGAATGACTGTAGACCCTCTTCTCTCTTTTAGTTAGCCTTACTTATTTATTCCAATTCCTAATCTATATCATAAAGCAAAGCCCTTTTTGCGCCGCAAGGCTATCTCCTACGTATCAAATTATCACTTCTAGGAGTAATATGCCAGTAACTATAGAGGACTTTATTCTTAAGAGGACTTTATTCTTATTCTAAATAGGCATAGGTCCGGTGCAAGTGTCCTTATATACATGTATATGTCGGTTAAACACTGCCCAAATACAGGTCAAAGCAAAGTAGGTTTACAGCTAAGAGTTCACTTTTCTCAAGCATCTAACTAAGCTCCAGCAATTGCTATTGGAAGCCTCTTGTTCTCCAGCTCATGCATCCAGTAAATGCCCTGCTCATGTCGTAGGTTCAAATCCTATTGGACGCAATCTTTTTTCTATCTATTCTTTAAATAACTATACTCAAAACTAAAAATAAAATTGGTTTACTATACTATTAGTAACACATATACTTTTTGACCTTAGCTCTTTATTTATTGTTCATTGAGCAGTTCAAATGCTTTGATTGCTTATCAGATAAGAGGTCAAAATATTCTTCATTCGTTTATTTTTTTAATGAAAAATTTCATTAAAATCCATTCTTTCTCATAACTTGAGAATATGTACAGCGCAGAACAGAAAAGAAGGCAGATTTGATGAGTTGTAGGGGCGGACCCACCCCAGCTACTGATTTCTTTCGGGAAGGTTCTATAAGGGAAGAAGAATCAGAGCTGTGACCTGGTAACCTTGATTTCTTTCGGAACGTCATTACGAGAGTAACAAAGAAAGAATAACGTAGATAGGAAGGAGCGAGCCCCAAGGATAATGAATTGGTATGCCGGGTGCTTACTTGAGCAAGAAGCCAAGTCATCGATAATCAAAGAAAGGTGTGAGTGAACGAGCCCAACTTTCCGATTCAAATATGACTCCTTTCCACTTTCAACAAATAGAGAAATCTCCGCTAGGCTAGCAGTGGGTAACCAACGTAGTGCCCCATTCGTTCCATGACATCCAATCAGTTCTCCTCGGATTCCAATCCAATCTCCCAATCAGTGATAAATAGACGGTCGGATGAGATCTCGAACGTTGTCCCTACCTACTGAGGAATCAATGAAGCTCAAGTTGCATCCAGAATCCAGAAGGACAGTGAAAGGATAATCATTTATTTTGCCCACCAATT